TTTCTAACGATAACAGCGCGAAGGGTTTTTTTCCCCTCCCTCCCCCTAGCACATAGGAATATAGGAGCGGGGAAAAAACACGGTTCACGATTGTGAACACGGAGTGACACAGGAGAGAAAATAACGCGATAAGAAGAGTATAATAAATCTGGTACTGGTGATGATTCACATTGCGCCTATTATTTTCAAGATGCAGATACGCGAATATATTATTACGAGCCGGTTAATCTCTCTCATTGTCCTAGAAATATTTAATTAGACGTTATCTCGGTTGGATCAAGTCTTTATCTTGCGTCTATAGTACGATTCGATCAGGTTACACCGCACCACCTCGTCCTAGACCTTATTTACAACGCGCAGAATTGTTACACAATTGCTCGATCTTTCTCCTTCCTCCGCGAAGGAAGCGAAGTTGAAATCTGTCCGGTGGGAAAATTTATCCCGCAGGAAGAGGAAAGAAGGAGGGAAGGAAGGAAGGAAGGAAGGAAGGGAGAAGGAGGAAGAAGGGCCGGAGGAGGAAGGGTTGAACAGGAAGAAACGATTGGACGGACGATCTTGTCGAAAATGCGATTGTGTCGTATGCAGTGTTGACGCATCATCACGAGAAGGTAATTTCGTTGCTCGGCCATGTGACTGGCATTAACTAATTCAGCGCTCTAATATGCCGGCATGGGGTCGTGAACCCATGGGACATCCGTGGTGGCACTCGTCCACCGCTCTTTTAATTCATGGATGGATCTCGACTAATTCTTCCGCGGATCTATCAATGATTCATTCGATTTTCCGTTTGTTCGTGTTTTTCTTTTTCCTTTTTTTCTTTTTCTTTTTATCGTCGATTTAAAAGGTAATAACGTCGAAACGTTTGACGTTAAAGAACACGGGAGATGTTATTATTCGAATATTTTCCAAAGTGGGAGTCGAGTTTTCGCGGACGGACGAATTATCTAATTATTATAAATTTGTCGACGATGAATTTTTAAAGAACAAAACAGTTTTGTTTTTTAAATGCTAATGAAAAATCGGAGAATAGAGACGGATCCACGGAGGAGGGAAACAAAAGGAGGGAATAAGGATGATAATTTTCACGGAGAGGATTAAAAATGTCTTGCTGAATTATGAGCAGCACGACGTAACAATGGACTTTGTTTGTCCTTTCTGCTATGAAAATGGTCTTTTTAAGAGGCAACCGAACAATTAAAACAATTAAATTAATATCTGTCCGTGCAATGTGTAATGGTTATACTCGAAATTAGTAAATATTAGAAAAAATTATTTCCCTCGTTTTCGTTCAATTATTTTATTCCCTTTTTTTTCTTTCTTTCTTTCTTTCTTTCTTTCTTTCTTTCTTCGATCATTATTTCGTGTTTATTTATGTTTCACGCTTGTTTCATTTGTTTATTTACTCGAAGCGATTGTTACGTAATACACGTTATACCATGATATATGGTAGCATAATGTGTCAACATTATCTATTCTTAGAATTTTTGCCGTTTGACGTAAGTGGTTTGTTAAGTGGCTTCGTTTGATATTCACTTCCAGCAATTTGTTATCTTTAGAATCTAGCTACCATTGTCCTATTAATCTCCCGTTCCAAAAGAAGATTCATCTACTTAAATCTACATCTTTTCGACCTTTGTTCAATATCGTGTATATTGTATATTGTTCAATATCTCGATATCGTGTATTTTATATATATATATATATATTTTATTTTTTTCCTCAACTTGGCCAAGAATTCCAGATCTTGGAAAGTTTTCGCGTACGTTTCTCTCTCTCTCTCTCTCTCGTTTTGTGTTTAATCGATACGTTAGCGTCGATTAAACATATTTTTTTCTTTTCTTTTTTTTTTTTTTTTTTTTTACAAAAATCTTACGCGATCCAACGCACGATTCGATTTAACAGCGACGTGATAATTCATCCTCCATGGATGGAATATTGAAACTGTAATTTCACCGTGAACGCGACTGTTGTTCGCTATATTCTTCATTTCTAAAAATAAGATATTCCGCGATTCCCCGCGTTTCTTATTCTCGAGAACTCGCGAATAAAACGAAACGCAAACAATCCTATTTCGATACGAATAATAAATTGAAATACGATCAGAGTACGATCCCTTTTGATTTAGCTCTGGATTCGATTTAGCTCTCTCTCTTTCTCTCTTATTGATCGACAAAAAGTGAAAAATCGTTGGGGGAAGGATTAAATAGCCGTGTAGATGTGCAGTTTTTCGCGGCGAGTTCAATAATTGCTACTCGATGTTGACACGCTCCTTCGTCTAGACAAATTTACCGAGTCGGCAATCCTTTTCCGGTCCATTATCTGCTATCTCTTTGCTTTTCGAGGATAAACACACGAATTTACGGCTCGATGTGTTCATAACCGAGTAACGTGGCCTGGGCGATAAATACGAACAATTTTCTACCGTGCTCCGTTAATCGTTCATCATCCGTTGAAAAATCCTTAAGCTCGACTTTTTCGCAGTGAAAGGTACGTGTTAATTTCCTTCAAAAACTCGACTATTGAAACAACAGCCCGATGCGAATTAATTTTAAAGAAAGAGAAAAAAGAAAGAAAAAGTAATTTCGCTGTATTTTTTCTCCGATTATATATATATATTAATTATAAATTTATTTATTTATTTCTCGTAATCGAAGAATTCAATTTGCGTGCGACGAAAGTATCGGATATCAGAAGGAGAGAAGGTGTGTATTTGTAAAGCACAAGAGAGGAGAAAGAGAGAGAGAGAGAGTCATCGATCGGAGTTCGTTGGTGCCGGCATCGGATAAGACAGCCATTCATCAAATTACGTGGTAATTTTGATCAATGATAACTGGTGACTTTGAAGGCAGCTTCCTACGAGCCCTCGTCGAGGGAAGTGGCCAATTGCCGTATACGGCTACCGTACAGTCGCTACTAGAAATACCACCGAGACTAAGACTTTCGACTTTTTCCTCCTCCCGACGCTCGATGAAAAAAAAAAAGTAATCGTAATCGTCTCAAATCCCTCCTCGATTCTTCTCTCTCTCTCTCTCTCTCTCTCTCTCTCTCTCTCTCTCTCTCTC